TGCTGAAAAACTGCAATACAAATCCTTCATACCTTTACAGAAAAAGCTCCAAATACATTATTTTGAGAACAGACAGAAAGAACGGTCCTTACCTTTGAAGAAAGTAAAAATTTTTTGGCACTATCCACTGGCATGATAATAATAATGTAGGATGAAACCTGTGCTCAAAGAAAGTACCAAGGTTTGGTTCCTCAGATGCTGAGGCAATGAATTAAAGCAACAGTGGATGCACAATTAAAAAAGTGCCCACTACATACAGTTAGCTAGATCAAAGCCCTCAAAAACCTTGAAGAATGGACATCAAGGTCAGTATCTTAATTCACCAACGTTAATGACAGCCTAGGGAAACAAGTTCTGTGATGACCACATCTCAGGTATTTATAATGTTAAACTGAGGACAGTAGATAAAAATTTAACCCCACAGAGAATCTGAAAGGTGTCACTCAACTCAGTGATAAGGACTCTAATGTAATAATTTTCCATACTCTGTTCATGGAAGAAAAAAACGTCTTTGCAGGATGTTCCAGGGACTTGAATAATGCGCACATTTTATTAATAATCAAATGGCTAAATAAAAACATGTACATCCTGACAAGCGAGAAAAGCAATTATGACAGCCACAAATCTAATAGAAATCTTTAACATTACATAACTGCTAGACTGTGCAATACTGTTATTTGTCAGATCTCTCAATTTCCATATAAACTAGCATTCAATAGCAAATCTAGGATTCAAAAAAGAAAGTGTTTCTCAAAAGCATTCTACCAAACATTCTGCTTTTAACACAGCATGTCCAAGTGGTAGACTTGACCGGCAGATTACTCCAAGCCTGGTGTTTACCAGAAAGTTTTCTCACTGGAACTCATGGAAGTGTTTCATCATTTATTATCAGCTACCTGAGGGATAACATAAATGCGTCTCATGTGAAGAACTCTTGTCAAAACTGTTGGATAGCGCTGCCAGACTCAGGTGACTACTGCCTATTTTAAGGAGTGAGTTTTGTAGGTTCCAGTCTGATAACGCTGGCAAGTATCGTATTAAAAGCCTTACAACATCAGGGATTCCTGGGCACTAGTGGCTTTGGACATTTGTCTACTTCAAAACAGAATCACCCTAGAATTAGATTAAAAGAATTGTGCCTGGCTTAATACAGTACACTAATTATAGCAGCATGTTAGTAATTCAGAGATTTGCCAAGAGCAAGACAGGACATGGCTGGGTTAAATACTGTTCTGGAGAAGTGGCAGAGTAGCAAGGTGCTCTCTAGTACTGAAGAGTGAGTTCAGTCACCCAGAAACTTTGGCATAGTTCTCAAATGTTTTTTGAAATAAGGAACCACCACTGGCATTTACTCATGCAAAATGCCGCTAATGTTATATACATAACTTTTGAATAATATTTTTGCATATTACCTACCAGGTATCCAGTATCAGATTTCAACCACTTGATGTACACTAGAGTCAAGAAATGCCAAGTCACTGGCGCTACTTGGTTAAATCAGAGAACCGTTAACTGCCACTTGCAGCAAGGACTTGGCAGATACACGCTGGACTATCTCGAAAATTTATTCTCAATGTACACAAAACCAAGGATAATGAGTCTAAACAGACATCCCAATCACTAAGAATACAAGGCAGCCCTGGAAATTTTGCAGTCTCAAACAACATTTGACTGTCTTTTCCCCTTTTGCTTTTCTTGAAAAAACAACAAACAACTTAAGTGTACAGGCGAAAGGCAGGGAAAGATTTATGACATCTTCATATTTGATATAAAGGACAAGCAAAGACTTAGAAGTTCAGTACTGACACACAGGAGAAATTCTAAATGCTGCTGGAAATAGCGGTGAAATGATGAAATATGGTAAGTAAAAATTTTTTGCTGAACAATTCACAAAACAGTTGAACATCTCAACTTGAACTCAAGAAGACTGGATAACAAAGTGGGGGGACTGTGCTGGTATTGCACATGAAACTAAAAATCAATGTAGCTGTTGATATAGGTATACACAGAAACCAAATGTTTGGAATATAGAATATACTTTGTTAAGGAAAGACAGAAATAAAGGAAGAAGGGCAGCTTTACAGATACCAAATAATGCTGTAGATCGCAAGAATAAAAACAGCATGGAAAAAAATCTGAGTCACAATCATTTTAGGAAACAGTTACAAGGGTTTTCTTGGATAGATATCTCATATACTGTCTGGGTCAGATTTACCCTCCGCAAGGTTGATCACGACAATTACGGGCCCGTTAAACCAACCTAGATGCAAATGTTCAGAATTTTAAAGGAAATAAAAGTAGGAAGGTAATCTGAAAGTGGGACAAACTGCAGTATGGGTTTGATTACAAGAACATTGTTTTAAGTTGATGCCTCCCACAAATAATCCAGGAGAAATTATAATCGACAATAAGTTTTGTGTAAATACAGAACAGAGTAAAATCACGAATGGAAAAGAGTTTAGGTTTGTTACTTTGCAGTGGCATATACATGCTACAGCATGTGGAAGACAGCCATGCTACACCACCTTTAATAGAAGAAGTCATTTTCTAGACAAAGGAATGTTTGACACAGTGTCAAATGGGAAACAATTTCAGTTGGAGATGCAAATTAGTTCCTAAATTATTAAAGCATTCTAAGAGCTGGCTAAAGGCAAAATTCCTATTGGTTATAAAAAAAAGACTGAGGGTTGATACAACATTCGTAGAACTGAATATAGACCAGTTTCTGGGACTGAGTTTACTTTACATCTCATTAATATTATTGGCAAGAAATGCAGGAGTGTACTAATGAAATATGCTGATAAGGCAAGCCAGTAGATGTACTGGATACATAACCAGATCATAGTATCATAAAATGAAAGCAGGGTAACTTAGAAGTAGAATAATAGAAACAGGATGAAATTTATAAATGGGATGCAAGACCCTATATGAACTTGTAAGGGATTCCAAATGGAAGATTATCACTTGGAAAAAAAGGAAGAGGAGAAACATCTTGTACTAATAAATCCTAAAATGTTTATAAGCCAAAATGACGTGGTAAATGAGACTGTAAAGCATTTCAGGGAGAGAACTACCAGTATCATTGCATATGGCACTAGAGAGAATTTGTTTGGTATACTATGTAGTATTCAGGCTTTACATTCAAGAAAGAAATTCC